AGTATTCCATGTGCGGCCGAACCTGCGCCTTGTAAAGTTGCAGGCGGTGTGCCGGCATGAAATACTGCCCCGCTCTGCTGAGCACGCCAAGCTTTTTAGATGCCAATTTGGCCTTCTATTCTAAGTGACCACGAAACTGCACGTCACTCGATATGTCGACGCCGAGGATTCCGATACTGGCTGAGGCAACGAGGGGAGTGCCTTGAAACTGAGGAGATACGACAAAGGGGTTCTTTTTAGCGGTTAACGCGCAAACTTGTGTCTTCTGGGGGTTAAACTGGACTAGATTTAGTCGCCCCCAATCCGAGACTCTGTTCAGCAAAGACTCGACTTCAGACACAAGTTTGTCCCGGCACTCGGAGACGTTTTTCCGAGAAATATTGGCTCAGCCGGTGTAAAGAGCATCACCAGTGCTGTCATCTGCATAGCAATGAATGTTACGGGTTTGCAACATATCATTGATATGCAGAAGAAACAGCGTTGGCGACAGCAAGCATCCTTGTGGAACACCAGCATTAATAGGCTTGCAATCGGAGCTTGCACCGTCTACAACGATCTGCAAGAAAGCTGGTGATCCAATCGCAGAATTTCTCGGGAAGCCCATAGGAAGGGAGCTTCGAAAGAAGCGCTTTGTGCCAAACCCGATCGAAGGCCTTCGCAATTTCCAAACTAACGGCCGATGCCTCCCCCTTGGACTCTACTGCCTCCGCCCATCTGTGAGTTAGGTAGACCAGAAGATCACCAGCTGACCGACCACGGCGAAAACCGTATTGGCGGTCACTAATCAGCTGGTGATCCTCAAGGTACCTCATGAGCTGGCAGTTTACAATGGACTCCATTGTTTTGGAGAACAAGGAGGTGATGGCGATAGGCCGGTAGTTGGACGGGTCTGAGCGGTCGCCTTTTTTAGGGATCGGGTGGACAAAAGCCGTCTTCCTTGATTTTGGGACTACGCCTAGGGAGTAGGAGTACCGGAAAAGACGCGTTAAAACCGGTGCCAACTCTGGAGCACACGTCCTCAGCACAATTGGGGGGATTCCGTCAGGCCCACTCGACATGTGGATGTCCAGGGTGAGGAGTGCTTTGCGAACCGAGCGCTGTGTGAACTGCATTTCCGGCATGGAGCACTCACACCGCGGGATGGTCGGCGGCGTACTCCCACCGTTATCGAGAGTCGAGTTGGACGCAAAGAAAGAGCCTAGAAGATCGGCTTTCTCCTTTGCGGTATGGGCCAGTGAGTCGTCCTCCCTGTGCAAAGATGGAAAAGATGGCTGACGGAAATTCCCCTGGACAGCCTTGACTAGAGACCAGAATGCACAGGTTCCAGAAGGAAGGCGGACTAATTTCTCGCCAATTCTGCCTATGTGCTCTGACTTTGCCTTGGCAATGACTCTTTTGAAGGACCTAGAGGCGGAATTATACTTCTTTTTTAGAGCGCTGGTGTTTACATCCCGGGACGCTGATACGTCAGCCCAGGCTTGGTAGCACTCCTGCTTATAGCATGATGCTATTTTACAGGAGCGACCAAACCATGGCTGAGATTTGCCTCCTATGGTCACCTCAGAGGAAGGAATAAAAAGTTCCATACCCTTTTTTTTTTGCGGATGGAAAATCATCTAATGACGCCTTTCGCTCTGGGTGGAGCGTAAGGGAGTGTCATACTTTTACTGACTAAAAACCATCCGTGTTCTTTCAGTGCCCTTACGTTCCGGAGTCCGCGGTATCTCTTTCGAACAGCCCGCAGCCCCGGCAGGCGTCGGCCCTTGCGGACCCCTTCACGCTGCTGACAGCTCTTTGAGGCGCGCGTGGAACAAAACGCGCCGTCGACACGGCCTGTCGTCGTTAGACGGACGGACGGCGAGCTACCCATTGCTTGCCGTCCACAGGCCCGCGCCTACGGTGGCCGGGGGGCCACGACGTAGCCCCCCGACGCCCGGGGCATCTCCCGCGGGGGCCGGGGAGGAAAGCTGCTGCTCTCTCCTTCTCCCTCTCCGCCACCTCCTTCGCTAGCATCACTGCTTCGCAGAAGGTGGTGACGGCATCCCATTCCGTCTCGCTCCGGACCATGGCTACGACCGGGGCCAGACGCGAGAGGTCGCCGCCGCCTATCGCCGCTACGAGGACACGGCGGTGCTCCGCCCAAGCAGGGCACACCTCCATGGTGTGTTCCACCGTGTCCTCCGGTCCATCCTCGCAGTGGGAGCACCCGGGCGTTTCCTCCCGCCCGATTCGGTGCAGGAACCTTCCGAACACACCGTGTCCGGTGAGGACCTGCGTCAGGCGGAAGGTGAGGATGCCGTGGCGTCTCTCAAGCCACTCCTCAAAGAGGGGTCTTATCGCCGCTATAGTGGCGAAAGTTCCATACCCTGAAGTACCACATCAGTGACAGAATCCGCAACAACGTTGGGATCGTCCGGCGAGAAGCAAACCCGCCCCCAAGGGTAGGATACAAAGAAAGACCGCATCCCATCCCAATTGGCTGACCTATAGTGCCAAATACGGCGGCAGCCTGCAGATTGCAACTGCGATTTCAGCGTGAGTGGCACCACACTCCGAACAAGACAATGATCCGAGGAGCCTAAAGGGGCGTCAACGAAAATCTGATATCCGTCCGGGTGAGAGGTCAGCAAAAGGTCCAACATGGAAGGTGCATGATCCTCCACATCTGGTAGGCGAAGTAAACAGTTGTGTCAGACTATATGCCAAGGCAAAATCATGAACAGATCTCCCCGCTCGATCGGTTAAACGTGAACCAAGCCATTCGGCGTGATGGGCGTTAAATTTGCTGAGGATCACGATCTCTGCGGAGGGGATCTGTTGTAGCAACGAATCTGTAGCTGTTGGACGTGGTCGAAGAGTCGGTCTGTTTCGGCATTACCGCTATGGGACCTATAGAGGCACCCGTAGATGCGCGGATGGTCGTCGCTGTCTACGCGTATCAAATACGCTTAACATCGATAACTTGAATGGCCGTAGTAATTTTCTACCTGAAAATTCAATGTAACAACTTATTTGGAGCACGAGAATTTATGGAGTTGCATACAACCGGGTACAGAAACAGTCGACGTTGTGAAGAATGTGAGGGTGAAATCTTATATATGTATTAATCTCTTAGTGAAGGGTGACTCCCCGGTATATTATGGATTGATGACCTGGTAAGACGTACAGGAAGTTGGTGGATGTGGGTAACTGTAGCATTGCTTCTTATGGCATTTCTTGGGAGAGGCCCAATTTCAGGCGTAGACGTTTAAATTTTTAAGGAACATCATCATTGTTGATAGAGTAGGGTAAGTCTGGGGGAGTTGGCCATCGTTTTTTAAGAAGTCAGTAAAATTAAAACTACAAAGGTTAATTCACACAAATGAATTCTAATTAAACTTTCAACATTAACCTCTTAGAATTTAACATAAAATAATTGAATTTCAACATAATCAGTCTCATGATTTACTTTTTTTTTCAAATTACCATTAGCCATCTATACCGTAGTGCCCGGTAGAGATGGCCATAGTAGCAACGGATAGGTTGCCAGTTTATTAATCAGCATTTCATCCACTCTTTTCCTGTAGGTTTTTTAATCTTAGTTTTTTTTTAAACTTTTCTAAGCCAGCACTTAGCTTCAATCCCACCCGATGATAAGTAGTGATGTAGCTTAAGATGGTAAAACGCACTGACTTAACAAAAACCTATTCACTCTTGCCTTGAAGACACCCAAATTGTAATCGGATGGAAAGACAGATGCTGGCAACTTATTCTCCTCCTTTGCTGTACGCATGACGAACGACGTAGCAAATCGTTTGGTTCAAATGCATGGTAAGCCAACAACGAAAGGAAGGAGATAGGCCGAACGTCTGGTTGTCGGATGGTGGAAGGGAGAGGGAGGAATTAAATTATACAATTCCTGCGCACACTCTCCGAAATGCATCCTGTAGAAGACCTAAAGGCTGGCTACTTTGCGCCGGTGTTCGAGGCTGGTAAGATTAGTTGCAGCACCGGTCTATATATGGCAGCAATACTCCATGCACGATCGGACTTGCGCTTTATATAAAGTAAGCATCTGTCCCGGCGTGAAGTATTGCTGCACTTTTGCAAGGACTTCTAGCCCCCTTGCAGCAGCTTTGGCCTTGGACTCAATGAACCGTCCGAAATTCAGATTTAGGTTTAGGTTTAAGATATTATTTATTTCTCAAAAATTACAAATCGCTTACGAGAAATAAAAAAATTACAAACAATAATAAAGGAATCCATTACAAGCATACAGAATAAAATTTTGAGTATATCTCAACCCCCAGCAACTGGAGGCGGTCGGTATATTCCAGTGATTCTTTTCTGTCCACATAATGAACGCTTATCATCAAACTCGGTTTAATTTTTATGGAGCCACAATTGGCATAAACGCATTGAAGCTAGTTTTGATAAGATGCGTTTTATAATAATGCTCTCTGAAAATGTAAGTATTTACAGAATTCTCTAATCTCTTATATATTAAAAGTAGAAACTAACTGACAAATAGTCCAACTGCTGAGATACAAATCAGGGTAATAAGTTTTTACATATTATAATATTATATACAAGTTATGTATATTATTATCTCACAATATTATTTTATCACCGACTGAGGAGATACTTTCTTTCCAGTTGTTCAATGTAGAGCTAGACAGAGCAACAATGAGGAGTGACAAGGACAAGATGAACTAAACTGGCAGAATTTTCAATACAAAACTCTTTCACTCAGTGTTAAATTATAATGCATTTTCCTGCCTCTATAGTCTAGATGCCACAATTGTCACCATAGCTGGATCTGTCATTTGTACAGGTGTCAACCCATTGTGTGATTATATTATACTTACACTGTGATTTTATACAATAATTTGTTAAAATTTTAGTGCAATACGAGCAATGTGGAAAATAGTGAAAATAAGGTCGTTGGGAATAATGATGACATTGCTCCAATACTGTCATCACCAACATCATCTCAATGTATTAAGTTCACACCTATATAGAAAAGGCGACGACCACTACTCAAGGAAATAAAGATAAAGCTGAAGTTGCTTCAACTCTATGTGGAGGTTTTCAAGATTTTAATTCCAAAAAAGCTATTGTGGAAGATTTAAAAATAAAAAATTTAGAAGAGGAAATAAACTTTAAGCGAGAATTGTGCCAGCTGCAGTTAGAAACAGTTAGGAAGGAATTGGAAATTAAAATTGAAGTTTGCAACCAACTAAAAGGTATGTGTTTTATTCATTGGTGAAATTAAAAAATGTATTTTATATAATAAATTAGGTATTTGTAAATTATCAAAATATTGTGTAATTTGATTTCTGTGAAATCCATATGCCAAAGATGGTCTGTCAGAAAATGACATATTATTGATTTGTCCCCTTGTAATTAGGTCTTCCAGGTTTGGAACGTCATCACTATTCACAGGCTGTTGCTCATTTCTTGATATGCACATATTATGCAAGATACAGCAAGCTATTATGACATTGATGGCATTGTTTAAAGCTAAAAGAATTCCAACTGCAAGTACTGGAAACCTTCGTTTTAGCACATCATATTGCCGTTCCACCACATTTCTTGTTCCAATGTGGGCCTCATTATATTTCGTTCTCCACTTGTTGTAGGGTTGAGATAAGGTGTCAAGAGATGAGGCTGATAATAAAAATAATTTAAGTATTATTGTATATAATAATGTAATTTATATGATGTTAAATATTTCTTTTCTAATTTTAGGTCACAACTTTAACATCCAAAATGTTTATGGAATACCTAAAAATGGTTCTGCAAATACCTAATTTAAGTGAACTTTTTATTTAATTAAATATTCTCTACCTATACACAATCTTTTTATTAATTTTACCTACCTAATCTATACTTATAAACTTAGGTTAAAACAGCTGTAATGGGGTGATTCATGTACTAAATTGACTATATTTTAAAAAAATTCCAATCGGGCAGGTCAATTAGGTACCTATTAAAATAAGTATTTATTTAATCAATATTTAGAGCTCTCCGATAAATGCTTGCATGTAAGTTTACCAGGAAATATGTGCAGAATGGATGTTATTCTAGTTATTTTTAATTTTATCTCTCTATCACTATCCCCAAGTAAATGGCTCTCTCCGTACTCTCCTCTTTCAAACTTTCCATAAATATTGCTATTTTGGTAAATTGCTGAATCATGTGTAGAACCTGGCCAGCGTGCAACAACATCCTGCACCAACAACTTTGCTGATGAAATTGTTTGAACGTTTATGGACATGTAGCCTTTCCTGTTTCTAAATAGTTCTGCATCAACTCCACCTAAAGATATAAATAATACTTCATCAGTATTGCTTAATATACTTCTAAGACAAATGAACTTTTGTGAGAGAGTTAAATCAAAATAAGGAATTTACTTGGTGATTGAATTTTTATATGTGTAAAATCAATACAGCCTAGTACATTAGGGAATATAGCTATGCCATAGAATTCTATCTTAACTCTGTCTTGGTCTCTGTTTGTATCAGTAAATATGATGAATTCTCGACGTAAGGATAAAATTGCTGGAGAAACTCTCTTCACTATCCGGCTGGATGTAGCCAAACTAACACCACCCATATCCGCCACAGCAAGCAAGTGACTGCCTGTGGCGTAATATCTTAAAGATATTAATATTTGATTTATGGGTGGTATGGAATTGTTCCTGTAAAAAAAACATGTACCTAGATAAAGTGAATCACAAAATCTACAAGTTAAAATAGTTACTTAGGGTATCAACTTACCAATGTAGATAAGTTAGCACCAAGCAGGTATTTATTTATTTGATTTTTCTCGGCGACGTGTCTTATGTATTTGAACAATCACAATAGCTTTCTGACTCTTTGGGTACAAGTGTGAATTTTTTTGTGTGTGTGTGTGAATTTTATGCCAATTTAGTTGCTGATCGAGATATATCCCTAAGTATTTTGTGAAAATAACCTTTTGCAGGGGCTGGCAGTTACATTTAGGCGCTCTGTAAAGGTAATATGTGCAGAACATGAATGGGCGATTAGATGAAGATTATTAGGGGGTTGCGAGGAACTTTTTATTGTAAATGTTATACAGTTTGTTTTACTAATATTTAAGGTAAGGAGATTGCTATGTAACCTGATTATATATATATATATATATATATATATATATATATATATATATATATATATATATATATATATATATATATATATATATATATATATATATATATATATATATATATATATATATATGTGTAACCTAATAATCTGATAACGGTGTGTAGGCCCTTGGAGGCTGACTGATGGACTTAATCCCAGTTTTTAATCATGAAAAAGAAACGCTGTATCGTCGGCGTAATAGAAGATTTTACCGTTAGGTAATTTAGGTTCAGTAAGGTCATTGATGTATATTAGGAACAGGGTAGGTCCAAGAACACTAACCTATGGAACGCCATATTGTGTGCAGAGCTCATTAGAACTATATGAGTTATCGTCTATTTTAACTTGTTGAGTTCTCCTTAAAAGATAGTCGGATATAAGAAGAAGAAGTTGACCACGAACATCAATTCTGTCAAGTTTCTTGATAATAATGGGGATGGAGACGATGTCAAACGCCTTTTATAGGTCTAGAAATATACACAGAGCCTTCTCACTTCTATCAAGTATATCAACAATATTGCCGGTCAATGCTAAAATAGCATCTTCCGTGCTCCTTTTTCCTCTAAAACCAAATTGAGCGTCCGAAAAAATGTTATATTTTTTTATAAAATTTAAAAGCCGTTTATTAATATTTTTTTCTATAATTTTGGAAATCACTGTTAGAACAAAAATAGGTCTTATTAACGTCGTCTCGAGCCCCAGTCCTATATATAGGATAAATAATTGCTCTTTTTAATGACTGAGGAAACACTCCTTTATTAAAACATAGCACGCAAAGTTGATTAATAATAGGGTTAAGTTCTGTTCTGGCAAATTTAATAAATTTTGTGGGTATATTGTCCCAGCCAGGGGCAGAATCATATTTAAGGTTTGTGATAATTGATTCAATTTCATTTGTATCTGGTTCAATAAATCCGATGGAATTGGGTTGAGTAGAAGGAAGTAACTCGAAGTTACTTTGAGGTAGATCATGTGTAATAATGTCTTCTGCGAGCGTTTTCTCAACATACAACAAATCGTTATTAATTAAATTTACAGAGTTACTTGGTGTATCAGCCAACTGTCTAAGTTCTTGATTATTTGAATTTATATTATTTAGGTGCGTAATATTCTTTAACGTATTCCAAAGTAATTTATAATTATTTTTAGCTTTAAGAAGTAGATTTTGTTCATATTTTCGTTTAAGTTTTTTTTAATAGATTTTTGCAAAAATTACGATATTGTTTGTATATTAAAGATAATGTTTCATTTTATTTATTTTTTTGTGATTTTTTTTGAAGCCTATTTCTGTTTTTATGCATTTCAACAAACCCGGAGTTATCCCGGGTTTTATAATATGTTTATTACTCGTGATTTTTATTATTTTTGTATTATTATCTATTGATTTGTTAATTATTTCGATTAACTTTTCAGATAAAGTATTTGGGTCTTCCATTTTAATAAGTTCAGCCAGATTGTTATCATTTAGGGCATTTACTGCACTTTTGTAGTCAATAAATACTTTTGTTGATTTTCTATAAGTAAGATCACTTTTCGAGTAGATAGGTAAGAACCATGGAATGGTCTTAGTAGTGGCTTCTAGGACCGCTATTGTAGCAGAGTACTTATTGGGATCAAAGTTAGCGAAAACATGATCTATACAGCTGTTGATTCTAGTGTTTAATCTATGTCCAGGCAATAAACCATGTTGTGCCATTGTTTCAAGATATTTGTGACTGCGTGCATCTAGGTGGCCCTCTAATAGATTAATGTTGATATCACCTATTATTATTACGTTTTTGTTTAAATTGTTAGATTGAAGATTATGATTCAAAGAATTTACAAAATTATCTATATTATAATTAGATGGTGATCTATATATACACAATATAATAAGGTTAGTTAAACAAACTTGCAGACATGTAGCATCATTTATAAAAATCTCTTTAACTTTATGTTCTAAAGTGTCATTTACGTAGACAACGACCCCATCCTTTTAAGTAACTTTGTTAGTAGTGTTATAAACGTAATATCCGGGTCTGTTTGGTAATGGAATATCAAGATTTAATCGGCATTCAGTCAATATTAAAATATCAATATGTTCTTCAACTAATGATAGGCTAACTGAAAAATCATCGGAGTTCTTATTTATACTCCTGATGTTCTGAGTAACTATCGGAAAAGCTGGTTTATCCAAGGGTAAAAGATTGGTAGTTCATTTGTGTTACGGACAAAGCTATTGACATTATTAATGTAATCCAATTCATGCAATAATTGGTCTTCGCTATCCATTATTAATAGGTGGAATAGTTAAACATATTATCCGCAGTCTTTGTGAAAAGTATGAAAATAGTGAAAAATTATGTCCGACGATATCGTCAATAATTAGTTGAAGTATGGGTATAGTATCGCGTTTCTAATTTCGTACATGAGATTTCGATTTATATTTAAATTTAAAAACAGAAGGTGTAATATTATTATTATTGTGTAGTTAAATTTGTAGCAGTAATAATCGTTATATAAGTAAATATTGTGAAAATTGTATTTTATATATTTATGGACTGAGTGTAAAATCAGATGATAGGGATTGGTAAATACATAATTTAGTGTTGTGTAGAATGTTTGAAAAAATGAGTAAGTGTTCGTACACATTTCTGAATAAGTTAAAATAGCATGAGTAAGGTTATAAAATAAACCAAAGTACACAGCAAGCATCGTTAAGTTACAAAAATAGAAAAAACATTTTAGTAAAAGTAATAAGAAAGCTAGTCAGTTGTTCATCAGTTTTTGTAGTTTGCCTCATTCGTAATATGTATGATAGGAGAGTTGTCGTCCTTCCTCACGTATACACGACCGTAGGATGTCCAGCAGTATTTGTAATTCTTGTCCCTTCTCAAATCTCTCGCCAAAAAGAACAATCTCGATGCCTTCGGTGTAAGATACTCTGCGATAAAGATGGGACTATCGGGATTTCTTTTGTTCCCCAAGTGCTTGGCGCATAATTTGTCACTATGGTTCCGTTTGTTAAATGACTTAGCCCCTTTAAGAATGTCTTCCTTTGAAAGAGTCGAGCTTAATTCAACAATCACAGATTTTTTTCCGTTGTGCTTTTTGACGTTTATGGTTTTAGAAAGGTTTTATCATGCTAACCAGACCGTCTTTTGACACATTAGTATCAAAAGCTAAATTTTTAATCTCTAGAGTAGTTTTACGTCTATTTCTCAGGGTGTCTTCTAGGCGGTCCTCAAGTATGGCAACATATTCATCCCTTTTCTTAATCTCCCCTTCCAAACGCTTGACATTCTTCTTTAGCTCGGCGTTCTGCTCTACCAGAAATGTGATGGTGATTTCAATATTACTATTAGCTTCCTGAATTCCTTTTAATATCGGGAATAATTTTGTAATTTGAGCCTCCTGTTTTCGCATTTGGCTGTCTTGCCTAAGCGTCCAATTTTCAAACAATTCATGAATTTCGTGTCGAAATTCACTATAATCACCTCTGTTTTTCTCGTCGTCCATCCTTTGCCGTTTTGCCCTTGATGTAATAAATCCGTAAGTCTTTTCGGGGGTATCGTCATCAAAGATACTTAAATTAGGCGCGGAGTTTGTTTTGTCCAATGAACCATGTGACTCCATGATATTGTTGTACTCGTAAAGCA